AGTAAATAGCATTGTATCCAACAACAATCATCTTCACCGAATTAATCTGACCCGAGAATGGGGGTTGAATTTCCCGTTAAGTGGCACGCGTGCGTGCTCGTAAATCTCGACGATGCTCGATCGAGTGGCCAGATCTATGATCCACCTCGGAAGATTTAGACGTGTGATCCTTGATGAAGTGGTCGTTGATGCCGAGCGATCTCGAATCGCCACGGAACGGCGAGAGAGAGAGAGAGAGAGAGAGAGAGAGAAGAGAGGATCGACCGATATGGGAAACTGGTAGTAGCCGTTGGTGGTGCTCCGTTAGATAGCTTACGAGGCAGTTACATACCGGCCGGTTACGATGTCGATGGTACCACTTGTCTCGAGAGCCTGCAACCTGCTTCAAAACCCCTTCCCCGGTTCCTAGCTCACTGTAACCCCAGGACACGGCCTCTGTGTCTGTGCTTCGTCAATCGCTCGAGTGACTCTGACACAGCAGCCACACACATCTGTGGCAATTACTGATTTTGTAATATATTTGTATACTTTCATTTGTACACAAACAAATTTTCTTCTATCTCGAATAATTCAGAATTGATCGATTGATTCGCTCGTTCATCGTTAATTATTCCTTAACGAGTGGAGTTAGAAGAAAATTGCACAGGATCTATTTTGTATCTGACAACTACACAGTTTTCATATGAAGTACACTGAATTCTTGACGAGGTATAGTATTTTTTAGAGAAATTAGAAACTCTGAGAAGCAACGTTTAAATTATTATTTTTCAGTCTCTTATTGTAAGGTTTACTCTGGCTGATTGTTTCATAGACTAGAATCAACGCGAACGGTTACGGTTGCTGCTTTTAACGATGATGGCGATACAGCGTTTAGTAACGATTGATTGGCCGAGATCACTTGTACGTTTCCCCCAGTAATGCCGTTCTCCTGTTTCTCTTCCGCTCGAATGAAGGATGTATTGTGGCCGTCGCTATCTCATTACGAGGCAACTGTTTGGTCTCGTCTACCGCGAGAGGATCGCCTCTTCCCTAAATGGATCGCTTCCCATTAATTTGCATTTCCACTGAAAAGTCGTATTACGGTGTTCTTGAGTTTTATATGAGAATCCTAATGTCTTTCAAATATTGTACTAAAATTTTATACAATATACCAAGTAATATTATGAAATAATTTAATATTTATTTTTTCCAACAATTCAAAATGATCTTATATTTAAAAACTAGGAAACAAATTTCCTGCTCTATTTAATACAGAAATTGAAAATCCCAAAATCTATTAGAATGATCAAAATTAGGAGCAGACTGACTCATCGTTGCAGTTGCGCCTGTCGATTAAATACACGGGACAGTAAATTGTTTAGAGCGAATCGACGCGTTGTTTGGCTAGCCTAATGCCCGAAGCCACCCGGAAAAAGAGCCGTGGAATGCGCGTACATAGGTCCGATCGGGAAGCGAGAAGAATCGCGTTTTCCCCTATTGAACGGGAAATATACCAACGGCGGACCGGTCTTTTGTCCAGCACAATGTCGAGCCTTACGATCGTTCAATATTTTCCGTCAACATACTGCACGCGTTCATCTCGTTATAAAGTCTGTTTGATCGGCAAACACTGCGAGCGCCGATGCAAGAGCTGGCCCGCCCCGTTGCTGCATCGTCCCGGCCGCCCGTCCGTCCCGCGCCCAGTTTTCAACCCCTCCGCGTGGCACTTGATTGCGGAATCGGTTTTGCTAAAACGGCATGATCTTATGATTTCACGTCGCGCCGGACATCCGCGCTGATTTTCTGAAAAACCATTTTAATCATTTCTATTTTTCATGGAGTTCGCTCTTTACTCTCGCGGACTTTCTGTGAATAATTTATTCAAGTTCATTCAAAAGTAGACAAAATTGCTGGGCAAAGTATTTCATTCTTTTCATTATTTTTCTCACTGTACCATTCAATATCGCACTTTTTACGATGAGCAAGTTACGTAAAATCTAAACGAAGCGCAACGGGTCCCACGTGTCACGGTTCAAAATTACAGCCTCGGCGACGCGAACTGTCAGAAGCAGGCGCGGTAGAACCCTCGCAGAAGCGAATAACAGCCGGCGAACAAGCGCCCAGGGATGCATAATCGTCGAAAGAAAGGGAAACCATCCCTGAGAGGGGCGAGGGGGAAACACGTCTCAATCCGGACGATGTGCCCGCCCCTACCGATTCGTTTGCTCTGCACCCTTTTCAGGGCGACAATCGAACGGCTGTCCCGTTCGGTATTTAATACGTTCTCGCCTGTCATCGACGCGTTTCGATAAAACGCGTATCCCGTCTTACGGGAAGGAAAGATGGAGGCGACAAGAAAAAGGGGAGATGCCCGCCGGGGCGTCTTTTGATTTATGTAGTCGCGTCTGCGAAACGACGGCGAGCATCAATCATCGCTGGATCTAAACCGGAGTAGGCGTATGCGAAAATCGTGCGACTCGAATCGACAGCTCGGATGAACGAGCGAAAATACGTCGACGCTGCTCTGGCGCTTGTATCGAAAGAGAGCATGTATGAAACGTGTCTAGGGGCATGCCAAAATGATAGGACAAAACCTGCACCCTCTAATGACTGTTTTGAAGGATCTTTTAATACTGGAGATTTTAAACATCTTTCATATGGAAAAGAAGGTAAATGACTTTTTTGAACGAATGGATGACGCATGCGGAGTGCTTTATTGATCCATGATGAGTAGTAGACTGAGTGTCCAAAATATAAATATAAAACGTAATGTTGATTGAGTGCAATAAAAAACCAGAAAAGTGAATCTATCATATACATATGTATCAAACATTAAACTAGCCTTTAGGCAAGGCCACATGGAAACGACAGACAAATATTATCTACAAACACAGTGACTCACCTAATGAAATGTGTCATAATTTACCATTAAATTAGAAGACATTTATTGTGCACATCTATAATCTGCCTATTATTAATACTACCAAGCGGTGTCAAATGATCTTTTATGAAACTTTTGCCTAAAATTATTATCATTAGTTTAATCGTTTTCCACATTTTAATTAATTAATTTAACAACCAGTATATGAAAAGTAAAAAATTTAATTGAGGAGAAAGTATTAAACTAATAATAATAATAATTTTAAGCAAAAGTTTCAGAAAGTGTCTTTTGACACCGGTAGAAATAGTGTTAATTTATGATTTTTATTTTATCGAAAACGAGGAGTAAAGTGTTTAATCGAGGGACGCGACTGAATCAACAACGTAAGACGCGAACTGTTTAAGAACGGGTTATTGTTGTACAGATCCGTGAAGATAATAGCTGCCAGTGGATCATCTCGAGCTGCGTCAGGCGCGAGCAATCGCGAATGCGCCCAATATTCACGGCGCTCTGGGGTAGAGCCGTCCGTGGCAGTCTTACGTCCTCCCGCGACAGTTCACGTATGTGTGTATGCATACAGGCCAAGAACCGATGACAAACCCTGCCACCTAAACAAAGGGTCCCAGCCGGGGATATACGCGTGGCAGGCACGCAATTTCCGTCGCCATGTAAATCGCGCGAAATGAATTTCTGCCAATCACGCACGTGCGTCACTGTTTTAAGGAGATTTGGATTAACGGCAAAATTTATTTTTGCGGATTAAAGACGGAGTTACTGTCTTTAATTTAATGAAATAAAATGATTGCGAAGATCATTAAAGTTTTTTTCATCACGCGTTATTGTCTTGCAAAATGTATTGTCGAATAATACATTCGTTGGTTGATTAAGTGAAACTATTATTTCCAAATTCTTTTAGGCGATTCATAATCAAATAGTAAAATTACTACATGTAACTATTTCCTAATTAATAGCAATGGATTGTAATTGAAAAAGGATTAAAGAAATCTAATCTGTACAATTATTCTTAGATTGTAGATATACCTGATGGAACTGCATCTCAAGAAATGAAATGGCTGAATTCCAGGAATGAAGATACGCAGATGGAGGCCCTCCATCCATCTTCCACCTTCTTTCGGAAGATCTGAGGAAATAGTTGAGAGTTTCGTCGATAGTTTGCACGGGGAGCGTTTCGTTCCGCTCGAAGTTCCACGAAACGCGCTCGCCAAGGGCTGAGATCTTTTCCGACAGTGGAATCAAACGGCCTGTACCACCCTGACTACGTTCTTCCCGCACGCACCTCGTCGCGATTTTGTTTACGAACGCAACCGATGATAATATCGTGTCTGCCGTTCACGAATCGGTGGATTTCCGAAAGGGAAACTTTCGGTACGCGGGATGCCGCGTGCTCATTTCCTCGCGAAAATTCCGCCGCTACTCCCAGGCAAGATTCCTTTTCCAAGTCTCGGCCAAGAATTTAAATTGCGAGCCATATCCTGCGGATTGAGCTCTCAGCAAGTTATCAATGCGTATATTCTATCACGTGTTCTAATTACGATTAAACAATACTAGAATCGTATGCCAACTTTATTTAATTATTGTATTTAATGCAATCGTTGGATTTATATAATTGTTATTTTACCAGGAATTAATGATTTAATTTCTTGAGGAGGATTAGCAGATGTCTTCTACGTTATACTCAAACATATTTTAAATTGATGTATTGCAAAAAGAACAATATAGGGTCTTAAAATATCTCTCAGGAATTAAATATGTTCTTATTTCATTCTAACTTCCTATATTGTTATTTTATTAACAAAGATAATAAAGAAATTATATTAAACTTTAGAAGAATGTAACTACGCACATAATTAGAACCTAGAAAACACGTCGAAAATATTTAAAGAAGAAACGCATTATAATTTCTAGAAGTTCATTTATCATCATTGTTTACGTCGATGCGCCACTTAACTAAGTTGTAAGACACAATTTGAACAGGTGCGCTTCGTTCTTCCAATAGTAATGCCATTTGTTAATTGGCGTTCATTTATTAAGTCATAATACTTGAATTTATTATTGTGAACTATAATTGAGGTAACGTCACTCGCTGGCTCCGTATAAATACCAGCAGGTTGGCCGATGGAAGCCGGAATACAGTGAAGGAAACAGAACTAGAACGAAAACATGGACGCAAAAATATTCTGCTTGCTCCTGTTCGTTGCTTGCGCCTATGGCTCATTTTTGCCATCTCTCCCGTCCCTCTCGTCCGCTGCGAAACCGTTCACGGACGTAAGTTGGCACAATTCATGTTTTAATATATTTTAAGTAAGAAAATTCTCAGTACTTTATACACACATGTCTTTAAAATTAATATTCTAATACCAACATCTTTCGTACAGGCAATTGGTCAGGGCGAATCGGCAATTTCCGGTTTATTAGGTGGCAAACACGACAAGCCCAGCCATGAATCTGACGACAAGTCCAGCGATGACTCTGACGAGAAATCTAAGAAATCAGAGGAACATTCCAAGAAAGAGGAGAAGGAAGTGCAAAAACTGGTGAAACAATTGGCACATGTAACGGAGAAGCTACTTCATTCCGCCAATCTGGAAGACCACCAGACGAAGAATCTCTTGTTCTCCATCAATGCATTGGTCCAACAGTTGGAGAGGCTGGCGAAGATCGGCGAGTTGAAAGAAAGGAATCGCAGAGGACTCGAGGACTTAGTGGGATCCGCGTTGAGCGCGTTTTCTCCGAGCGGTGGAAAGTCCGGCAAGAATGATAAAGAAGTGGAAAAACTGACGAAGGAATTGCAAAAGATCACGGAAAAACTGATCGACGCCGTCGGCAAGGACAACATCCAGGCGAGGAACATCTTGCTGTCCCTCAAGGGATTGGCCGACCAATTGTCGAACTCCAGCGGATTGACAAGTAAAGCGGCTACAGACTTCAGCGGGTTGGTAGATAAAGTGCCTGGAGAAATCAGCAAGTTGGTAGATAAAGCGCCTGCAGAATTCAGCGGGTTGGCAGATAAAGTGCCTGGAGAAATCAGCAAGTTGGCAGATAAAGTGCCTGGAGAAATCAGCAAGTTGGTAGATAAAGTGCCTGCAGAAATCAAAGGGTTGAAAGATAGAGTGCCTAGAGATCTCAGCGACATTACGGGATCCGTGTCGAGCCTGCTCGGCCAGAACGGCTTCTCGGAGCTTCTCAACGTGGTCCCGCTCGGCAGCAACCTGACCTCGATCCTCTCCAAAGTCGACTTCAGCAAGGTGACCGAAGTGCCGAAGATTCCCTCGCTGCAGGACGTGGAGAAGTTGCCGGTCCTTCCAGGCCTCAGAGAGAACATCCTGTACGCTAGGAACCTGACCAGGCTCGCATTGGGTGGCATAGGCCAATCGGACTTGCCCACTGTCATCCAAAAGGCAACGGAGAGGGCAATTCACAATATCGTCCCGGTCGCCGCACTCACTGCTTTGCTATCCACTATCTTGCACATTTACTACGACATCGCAGTTAATAGCCCATTGTACGTAGTCGGCGCGGCTGTTCTTCAGGACGGATTAGTTACCATAGCCGCTGTCGTCAAGAGCGTAATCAGTGTTGTAGCCAATGATATCAAGAATATTGTTGGTTCCGTTAGCGGTTAATTCGATTTTCATTAGATAAGATTTTAAAAAGCGATTGATAACCGATACATTTTCTTACAATTAGATGAAAATATAGATTGATATGAAAAATGTTTGTCCTGAATTAATCCTTTTTTAAAAGCATACTATCCATTATTACATCGATTTTGCATCGACATGCTAGAAATTTGAGGATAGTATGCAAAAAATATCAAAATGTTCAGCCAATAAAATAAATTATTATCCAGACTGCATTTTAGAAATGCAACTTTAAATATTTTACCTTGTCACAAAAATTTGCAATTTGATTACACAATTTCCCATATACATATTTCAGTTTTACAAAAGTATTAAATATGATACAATATGAACAAAAATGCACAGGCGAAGGTGTACGTTAATTGAAATGCACAACACTGTAGAAAATATCAAAAATCGATGCACGAGATGAATAAGAAAAGAAATTCAAGCAGCCGCATCCGAAATCAAGCGGTTGTGGAAAAACCGGCGTAAACATCCGTTCCGACATGCAACTGACGGAAACGGAAAGGTAAACACGGTTTCCACCGGTCGCTGACCGATTCATCCTCCCTCGGCTCCGGGCTTCTAACAATCTGTTCCCACCTCGTAAAATCGTCATCGCGCGTGCATAAAACATGAGAATTCAAGCACAGAAATGTACGTAAGACTGGTATTGTACAGGTCTTACATACAGGGTGAGCCAGTAGAATTTTTATCGAAAATATAGTGTATCATCGATTTTATCTGAACACGTCTTGCACGAATTTCGAATTTCATAAAATTAGACGATCAGAGGTGATCATATCCCAGAACAAAATAAATAAAATTAAATAATAGTTTAAGATGATTTTTTAATCAATTGATTTTATCAAGAAATGTTTTACATTTAATAATGCAATTATTTGAAGTTATGATAAATAAGAATTTATTATAATAAAAAAAACTAGGATTATAATTCTTATTGATGTTGCGTAGTTGTACGTTAAATTAATACTGAATCTTTTTTAGTAGCACTTAAAATTTAAAAACGGTCTGAGCCTGTTCTGTATTTTAAATTTATAATCAATTCAATATCATTGCTATTAAAAATGTTTAATCTTTCTGTCACGATTCGTTAATCCGTCAAAGAGATTTTCTATTATTTATGGATGAGATTTAGGACACCATGTATAAGTGCGTCGTAGGCGCTGTCGATGAAGACTCCAGAGGTTTGGAGGCGCAGCTCTGGAGAAAACGAATGGCGTTGGAAAAAGGAGAGGGTCGGCGGAGCGCGTCGCGTATTTCCACCTAGCCGCCTCCGTCGTCGTCGCGAGACGCTAAAATACATTTTTCCTAGGAAGTGTCGTCACGGGAGGGCCTCCAGCTGCTGGTCGTGATATTCTACATGCGTAATGCTCTATCCTTGGCCCTCTCTCCCTCCAGCGGGCTTGGATATTTCCATACATAAATTTCATAGCGAAGGAAACGGGTGGTTCTGTGCGGTTGCACGTCGCCGTTGATGACGACGCGACGTGCTTGAGAATCCGTCGACTGATCGCGCCCGCCGTCAGTTTGCGAGCGTTCTCTTTGTTTTGTCGAGCAAACCCGCGACAGAGATCCCCCGTTAAATTCGAAATATAAATCGCAACCGTTGATCGTACCAAAAAAGTCTTTTAATACAAGTTCACAATAATTACAAAAACTACACTCGTACAGTGATATAAAAAATGTTACTGTGTTCGCAATTTGCAAGAAATACGTTTATCAAGAGCCTTTGTACTTATTGTTACTATCTTTTGCATCATCCATTCGTATTTGGCGACGACACGACCTTATTGACAGTCAGAACGCTATGCACGAACATATTTGCGTCTTCTAATACTGGTTACGAAATCAACGATCGTCAATTACTTGTTCTTGCTCTTATCCTTTTTCATGTCCTTCCAGAACTCGTCCGCCTGACAGAACCGGTAGCCCATGTCTATCCGTATGTTCTCAGCGTTTATTATCGGATTCTCGATGCACGCTTTGACCAGATGGGCTATCTCTTCGCTTTTACCTAATCGCTTCGGCGTTAGTTTCATGCTTATAATCTTTTTCTTCTCTTCCTGATCGATTACGTCTGAAAGTGCAAACATCAGTAAAAATATTCTCCACAAATCATGTCAGATTATAATAGCTAATATAATAGCTTATTAATCAGATTAATTGGAATCTTCTGATTTATGTACAATTTGTAAATAAATTAAATTAAGGGAAAATCTTAATTAATACAGCAATACCTATCATGGGGGTTTTTATGTAACCAGGGCAAACGCAGACCACGCGAATCCCTTGAGACGCCAGTCCTCTGGCCATCGGCACTGTCATACCGACGATAGCAGATTTCGTGCTACCGTAGACGACCATGTGACCTGGCGGTTCGAACGCCATCGTACTAGCGAGATTGATAACGACTCCCTTCTGGTTGTTCGCGTCCGGCTTGTTCTCCGCCATCAGCCCGACCATCAAACGCGTCACGTTGAACGTTCCCCAAACGTTCACGTCGAACTGGTTCTTGAAGTTCTCCACGGAATGCGGCTTCTTTTCCTTGAAATCGTATAAGTACTCGTGCGCGAGGATCCCGGCCGAGTTCACCAACACGTTCACGCCCCCGAACTTATCCTTCGCGCACTTTATACTCTCTTTTATGTCCTGTTCCAGTCTCACCTGTCAAATTTGTCCATCATGCTACCAACTTTTATTGCTTCCAAATCGGTGTCGATCTTTTCTAATGTGATACCACGTCTCATTCACTTTTAGTGTTGTGAATTTCGTGAAAGCTCTGTTGCATATTTTTTAATGTTTTAGACTTACGTCTACGCAGACGAATACAGCTTTGTCACCCATTGATTCTGCCATTTTAGATGCCTTGCACGACGTGTCAGCCAGTATCACTTTGCCACCGTGGCCGACTATCTTCTCTGCGACAGCCTTTCCGATACCATTCGCAGCACCAGTTATGTAAGCAACAATATGCTACGAACCGTAATCAATTTTTATCAATCGTATACTCTCGTCCGCCTGACAGAACCGGTAGCCCATGTCTATCCGTATGTTCTCAGCGTTTATTATCGGATTCTCGATGCACGCTTTGACCAGATGGGCTATCTCTTCGCTTTTACCTAATCGCTTCGGCGTTAGTTTCATGCTTATAATCTTTTTCTTCTCTTCCTGATCGATTACGTCTGAAAGTGCAAACATCAGTAAAAATATTCTCCACAAATCATGTCAGATTATAATAGCTAATATAATAGCTTATTAATCAGATTAATTGGAATCTTCTGATTTATGTACAATTTGTAAATAAATTAAATTAAGGGAAAATCTTAATTAATACAGCAATACCTATCATGGGGGTTTTTATGTAACCAGGGCAAACGCAGACCACGCGAATCCCTTGAGACGCCAGTCCTCTGGCCATCGGCACTGTCATACCGACGATAGCAGATTTCGTGCTACCGTAGACGACCATGTGACCTGGCGGTTCGAACGCCATCGTACTAGCGAGATTGATAACGACTCCCTTCTGGTTGTTCGCGTCCGGCTTGTTCTCCGCCATCAGCCCGACCATCAAACGCGTCACGTTGAACGTTCCCCAAACGTTCACGTCGAACTGGTTCTTGAAGTTCTCCACGGAATGCGGCTTCTTTTCCTTGAAATCGTATAAGTACTCGTGCGCGAGGATCCCGGCCGAGTTCACCAACACGTTCACGCCCCCGAACTTATCCTTCGCGCACTTTATACTCTCTTTTATGTCCTGTTCCAGTCTCACCTGTCAAATTTGTCCATCATGCTACCAACTTTTATTGCTTCCAAATCGGTGTCGATCTTTTCTAATGTGATACCACGTCTCATTCACTTTTAGTGTTGTGAATTTCGTGAAAGCTCTGTTGCATATTTTTTAATGTTTTAGACTTACGTCTACGCAGACGAATACAGCTTTGTCACCCATTGATTCTGCCATTTTAGATGCCTTGCACGACGTGTCAGCCAGTATCACTTTGCCACCGTGGCCGACTATCTTCTCTGCGACAGCCTTTCCGATACCATTCGCAGCACCAGTTATGTAAGCAACAATATGCTACGAACCGTAATCAATTTTTATCAATCGTATACAAAGAATATCTAAATTCTATTAATTAAAAAACAATAAGGATTCGTTTGTAATTCAAGAATTATGTTAAACACTACAATTGGAGAAAATATGACATGAATTTTGTTAATTTCTATTCGATTAAATAATTATAATTAAATTAAGCGATTTGGTTGCTGGTGAAAGAAGAAGTGGGTACTCGGTCTGGTTCGAGAGAAAACGAATTATTCTAACATTACCTCCATTTTCCCCATTTTGACATTTCTTGGTTATTACACACCGCGGAGCTGAAATTAGATTTCCCTTGTTCCTTACTTTCCCTCGTTTGGTCTAAGAAGATTTCAAGTTAGTCAAGTACTTCGGACAGTCTAAAAAAAGGAAGTTTAAAAACTCGATGAACTTGGAGTTTCCCCTCGGCTTCCGCTTCTTAAGTACTTACCGTACGATGCAATTATCTTTGGGAATTTTCTTTATTCATTCGCGAGCATTGTGTGCACGTAGAACATTTATTATCACGAATTGGAAATATCAAATAACGTGGAATAATAATTCCGATGGTGAGAGACGCGAGTCATTTGAAATTTCTGTTACTTGATAGATCGATTATTTACAGTCTTTCATTTCCCGATTGATCTTGATGATCTTTAAGTCCCACCAATAATTCTCAAGCATTGAATATAAAAACGTTAAAACATAACGTTAAACATTGAAACATATGGCAGTCAAATATGAACGACTGTCATTCCGTTCCTTTAATCGATATTTGACAGCTTTCTCGATTACGATATTATAGACACATTTAAATCAAACATCTAGTAAACAATGAAATATTTCTTTTTATTTCGTTCATTATTTACGACAGAAATTATTTTATCTTAGCAATCGAAAGGCGAAGTAATATTTTGAGTCAGTTAGGAGATTTAATATTATTTGACGTTTCATCATTGCGTCAAGCGTCGGGCTGACGACGCAGGCCTAATTCTCGACGATTAAACGCGACGGTCAAACGATAAGGCTTGTAAATTCGACGAATTATGCGGTCGGCTATTGCGACCTGGCGATTAACACCCGCATTACGCCGGCTCGGTACACCCGACGCCTGACATTTGCATTGGAACGTGTCGAACAACTTGAGACCCACGCGCAACACCTGATGCCACGGATTACTTACCACTCTGTTTTATTGAACGAAAACTATGTATTATGCATTCTTGAGATACCGCGAGCCGGGTACTGGAATCAGAGAAATGGAAATCATGTAATACTCGACGATACCTTGGAATTCCTATTCGACGTTGAGGATAGAATCAAATTTTTAAATGAGATCTAACATTTAATGCTTGTCAATATTGCTGCTGCTATTACCTCTGTTAACTTATTTAATACGAATATATATTAAATTGCTTACTTCGTGAATCTTATTGAAGATGTTTAATTTTGCACTTGCTTATTTTTAACAGTTCCTCTTCCTTTAAATGTATAAAATAGAAAATACATAAAATGGGAAGACTATCGTACGTTCTATAATGTTTAATTGAGTGCCCATAGCAACTAATTTGCAATTTTAACAAGAAGTCCCTCCTAAAGCTGCACTGTAATCGACTTCTCTCACTATCCCATCCATTCATCGTTAGGTCGGAAATGAAAGACTGGTAGAGAGCCAGAACGAAAAGTCGCGTTAACTTATCAGTCGCTCGACCATTGCATTCGCGCACCGCCATGGTGAAACACTTCACCTTGATCTCCGACAAATTGTTAGATTCGTATGCTCGACCAATTTCAATCCTCTCGTTCGCTACTTCCAATTTCCTGGGCGTCATTACCGGCTCGTAAAACCCGGGACGTCGAGGGCCACGAGGAAAATCTTACACAGTGTTCCCTCTGATAAGTTCGAAGAAACCAGTTCTATCCTTAACCGCCGTCGTCGGAGCTTCTGCTCGCGACAGCCATCGTCTTTCGTTCGACCCGTGCCACCCCATTCGACCGATCGTGCCGCACGATATTCAGGGCCTAGCAGTGCCACGCGTCTTTCCTTTGCGTATCGAACACCTGAGCACTGGGATCCTTCGTTTCGCACCCCCGTGCGAACCTCGGAAGAGACGCGGGCCTGGAGAGGAAGGAGAAAGGGGAACGAAAACGAGCAGAGCGTGGAGGGTGGATGGAGAGAGGGCGGACGTCGAGGATGGGACACACGAGCGTACGGAGCGGAATAAGGGGATGGAGGCGTAGCGTAGGTCGCAGAGGTCGGACACCACGTAAATTGCATACCCGATTGCGGTCTACTGAAGAGTGGCGCCCTCCTGGTCAACCCCCTCCCCTCTTCAGACGGCCGTCCGGCGACCCCAAACTGGATCTAACAAGCCGGCAACCACAGACTAGGTTCAGCTTGCAACGGGGCTGCCACCTCTGGGGACCGCCGCCGGGCAAACCCGGTGAACTGTCCTTCATGTCCTGACTGGAAACCCCTGCTTCCTTTCTGTCTACCTTCTTCCCCCTTCCCGACCTCGCACCCACACACGTACACACCACCCCCCCGACTCCGCCGTCTCGCTTTCTCTTCCTCGCACGTGAAAACCTTCGAATCCATCCACCCGTCCTAACAAGCCCGTTTACGTTCAGCCTGTAAACCTACTGACGTTACCGTCGACGGGACGTCGTTTTCCTGATCGCGACCCTCCTGGCTTTTGTTCGGGGACGGATTTATCTGTACCAGTGACGAGATCAGAGATTGGCCAGTAATGAGTTTGAGAAACGGACAATTAAATTAGACGAGATCAGTCGACACATACGTACTATACTTACGGTCTCCCGTTTGCCCGTATTAATTATCATCATATATAAAATTCAAGATGTACAGAAATGTTTCATGGGTCAAATAGCTAAGTCAGAGTACAAACGCACTCTCTCTTACTATAATAATAGTAAGACGAGCATGAGTGAAATAAAATTGTACGAGCAGTGGAATAAACACAACTGCCTAACATAGAAGTGAACGTCTTCGACGAGAGAGCTTTTAAATTCCCGTCGGCGGGGCTGAAGCGTCTCGAACCGTGGCCGTTCTAATCTCCGTACATTTATACAAAAGCGGTTCTTATTGCGATCGCTGGATTTCACGGCGGCAGTCACAATTACGACAATGGCCGCCGGGTACTTTAACGAGTCGCAACACGATATAAAGTCAGGCATCACCTCGTTCCTGTTAAAGACAGAAAATCCCTCGGCCGTTTTGTCAGCTAGAGAGAGAGACGGAGATAGTAAACGGTACGCTTGTACGACGTAGTATAGCTGCCATCCAGTTACCAAGGAAAACGGTCTAGTTACGGGACGCTCTAATTACTGCTTTCGGATGTTGCGGTGCAAAAGAAAACCTGTTCCGTAGTGAAGTGTCACCAACAGGCGTCGAGTGGCATCTTCGAACAGGGGGAAGGGGGGCTAAATAGAGTGCAGTTAATCATCGGAGCGACGCTTAGGCTAATTGCCAGAACCTACAGTTCGGTTCGTTAGCGAGTTTCTCATTTCTGTTTGTCGTTCACTTGTTAACTCCTGTCAAATTTAATGGCTCGTCCCTTTGTGTCTCTTTTCTGTAGCCTCCGTTCGTCTTATCGTCATATCTTTTACTGTCGCGACTCCAGCATCGTTCCAACGCTTGATCAATAGTACAATTTCGCACTGACTGCGGAAAAGAGAAATTCCCAAACTTCGTACAGGGCGATTTAAACCGTGGATACAAATGTAAATGAAAACGTGACAAAAGTGGCATATGGACGAGTGTTCCGCGGAAGTTTTAACCGAATCAATGCGTTAACGCATGCTAACTGTGGCTGAGGACTCGCTCGAAAGAATACGCGGGAACTTTCCAGATCCTATTAATGTAAAATACCGCGATTCGGGCGACGCGAACGATCCTCGTGGAGGGTCTGTTCCCGGTATACGCGCGTTGGAACTCGGTAAGAATTTGAATAAAAGCCGCGGATCGCGAAGTCGTCTAGGAAGTTCCGTTAAGATCGAAAACTGGCATCAACGGAATGACCCGGACTCGGCACGAGCCGAGGGGCGGATATTCGATTCAATCAATCGTTCGGTTATTCTGTTAAATCCGAGAGGACGTGAAATAAATGTTAGTTTCATGCAGTATTAAACCCGAGTTTATCCGGCGCCGTTCGCAGCTTCTTATGCCGAAGAGGAGGCCGCCTCGCTTTCAATTTGATCGTTCGGCGGGCTCTGCGCGCGGAGGTGATAGTCGAGGCCGCGATAGCAACGGCGGAGCGCAATATCGGGAGGCACTTTGCGAGAGAGGGTTGTGTTTCAGGTGTCGACGAAGAAAAAGATGCTCGGAGATGGGAACCGAGGGAGGAAGGGAAACAGTCAGGGGGAGCCGAGTAGGTAAGAGGCTGAAGAGCCCATCTGGCTTCCAATCAGAGTGTTGCCACCAGCACATGTGTTCACGGCACGTTGAAGGTGGCGGCTCAATCAACGGGGGTGCATCTCTCTTTGGCCCTCCTTTCTTATCCGACCCCCTCTCGCTCCGGCAACTTTATATCACATAATCGAGCCCCGAACCCGCGCCGCGCCGCGCCGTGCCGCGCCTCGTTCCATTCCTCCCACATCTTTTCTCTAACGTTTCTCCTTCTCCCACCTCTTGGCTCCCATCTCGCTTCCTCCCGTCGCGGAATACAGAGCGAAATCACTCGTTCTTCCGGCCTTCCGGTCTACGTCTCCTTTCGCCGAGCCACCGCCGTCTTCGCCTTCTTCGACGTCATCAAACCCGTTCGAAGACCCTTTTCACTTCTGGCGAACAACTTCGAGACGCATCAACGGCTTTATATAACGCCGTTACTGGACGTATGATTACGGTAGAAAAATAATGTCGACTCAGTCGATCACTCCACGATTTAATCTTTCACGTGATGGCTGGATAATTTGCTAATAAATAATCATCGTTCCATGTGGTGCTCATTTATTTAATTCTTGGTTAAATAAAAATATGAAATTATTTTGTGTTCGATTAAAATTTGGACCCACCAATTGGATCTCAAAGTGATTTATATAATCTGAAATAATTTATGAAACCGAATACTGGCCGTCGACCATAAATGATAATTAAAATTTTAATTCAACCAGGTGGAGGAGGCGAAAAATTTCGACTATGCCAGGGTGGAAATAGAAACGAAGATAAGCCAGAACAGGATCGGCGCGCGATTTGTCCCGGGATTATTTCGACAAATCGAGATAACTATCCAGAAACGTTTACTCC